CTAAAATACAAAAAATTAAGCCAGGGGAGGTGGTGGGTGGGCGGACTGTCGCTGCTCCTTAGCCAAAGGTTCAAACTCATCCTCCCCATCCTGCAACGAAACTCTGGTTTCTGTATTCTCATCTTCTGTGAGTGCGGCTTTGATTGGTAGGGGGCGTAGCTGAGCTGTTGTCCCAGGCACCCTGAGAACACGTGGCGTTCAAGTGCTCTGAGAGTAGATTTAGGGGCCTCGGCAGGGTCAGGCGGCCAGAATGTTCCAGCGTCCTCATTCCTTGCAGGGATGATTCTCTGAATGACTGTCGGATCATCTTCGTGGACGAAGTCTTCAAGATTGAGCGTCCGGGTGAAGGGAGCCCTATGGTTGACAACCCTATGAGACGTGAGTTCTGAGCCAGCCTTTCCCCATCTTCCGCGGTGGGCACGGGGCGGGGGCTCTTGTCCCGTCTCTGGCTTGGCTGGGCCCCGCCGGAGCTGACCCTGCTGCCCCGTGCCCAGGGAAGAGCGGGCCGTCCTGCAAGCACTGCAAGGACGACGTGAACAGACTGTGCCGGGTCTGCGCGTGCCACCTGTGCGGGGGCCGGCAGGACCCCGACAAGCAGCTCATGTGCGATGAGTGTGACATGGCCTTCCACATCTACTGCCTGAACCCGCCCCTCAGCAGTGTTCCCAGCGAGGATGAGTGGTGAGTGCAGCCCTGCCTGCCGCAGGGAGACCAGAGTGTGCCCTACAAATCCCCAGAGGGGCACTGAGGAGAGGCAGGAGAGGGGCGGGCACGGCGGCTCACGCCTGCAATCCCAGTGCTTCGGGAGGCCAAGGCGGGAGGATCACTTGAGCTCAGGAGTTCAAGACCAGCCTGGGCAACACAGAGACCCCGTTTTCTTTTTTTTTCTTTTTTTTCCAAGATGGAGTGTCGCTCTGTCACCCAGGCTGGAGTGCAGTGGCAAACTTTCAGTTCACTGGTTTTTTGAGACGGAGTCGCGCTCTGCCCGCCCGGGCTGGAGTGGCAGTGGGGACTGATCTCAGCTTCACTGCAAGCTCCGCCTGCCAGGTTTTCGGCCATTCTCCTGCCTCAGACTCCCGAGTATCTAGGACTACAGGCGCCCGCCACCTCGCCCGGCCTATTTTTTGTACGTTTTCTTAGTAGAGCACGGGGTTTCCACTGTGTTACGCCCATGAGCGCGTTTACCAGGAATGGTCTCCGATCTACTGACCTCGTACCTCCGTCTCGGCTCGGCAAAAGTGCTGGGATTGGACAGGGCTTGAAGCCAGCCGGCGCCTGGCCTAGTTTTGTGTATTTTTTTTTTGTGAGAATCAGAGGTCTCCTGTCGCCAGGCTGCTACGAGTGGTATGATCTCAGCTCATGGCAACACTCCCGCCTCCCGGGTTAAGCGATTCGTCCTGCCTCAGCCTCCTGAGTAGCTGGGATTAGCGAGGCGCCGTGGCACCACGCTTGGCGCGATTTTTTTGTACTTTTAATAGAGACGGGTTTTCACCATCGTTGGCCGGGTGTCCTCATGCTCCCTGACCCTCGTGATACCGCCCCCTAGCCTCCCAAAGTGCTCGGGATTAAGGCGTCGACGCCACTGGCCACTGAGCCCCGATTATTTATTTCTTCTAAAGAAATAGGGTCCTACTCATTCACC